TCGTATCTCATCGTGATATCTTGTATGCGAATCGGAGCTCGATATCTCAGTCGCGAGATATGAAAGGCATTTAAATACGAACGCAAGCGTTCTTCTTTTTTTTTATTTTTCATCAGAACGCCAAACTTAGAAGCAATACCGACTCGCGTAAGGTTCAAAGCCTTGTCGTCGCCGGTAAAGCCCTTTCTCGTGCAAGAATTCGAATCCTTCGTCAGACGGCCGTCTTACCTTTGAGTAACCGCATACCGTCCGCAGGCAGTCGCACAACGAAAAGAACTTGCGAGACACGTGGCTATAGGCCATCCGAAACTACGACAAAATTAATTATAGTCATGAAAACATTGTTGCATAAAATTAATGGTGAAATATTTATTGAAGCGCTAATCTCTAATTTTATTTCAATCAATTTTATTTTCGTTTTTGTAAAAATAGTAAGCCAGTCTTATAAATATTATTATGTATATTTAATTGAGTTCCTGGATATAATTACATTGGCTATTTAAGGCAGAACTTTACCGAATAATTATATTTATTCGATTCGTTGTTTTAACATGTTTATTTGTGTGTTACTGATTTTGATATTAATATACCTTCTGCTGAAAATTTGATGATACTCACTAATTTAAATTTTAATATTTATAATCTGATCGATTCAAGCAAGTATCGAAAATAACATACCTATTTGATAAATAAATGTTATCCAGAAGAAGCTCTTAATCAATTACATTTGCATGCACTCTGTAATTTAACTTTCTCTCAGCAAAAATTCGAGATATGTGTATTCGTTTTACATAATACTTCAGTCTCAGCTTTTCACTCAATTTCTCACCTTTCTCTCGACTAAATTATTTTCGCGCGTTCGCTTTTCTGAGACTAACGCGAGTCGACATAACCCCCGTTTCTATTCTTTTTCCTTTCGCATATCTTGACGTCCGTAAAGGCGACGTGACGCATCCCAGGTGAGAACATCAGCCGGGGAAAAAGAAGAAAGGCGAAGAATAAGGGACAAGGATGAAGGGTGTCCGGTACCGGGTAGGCGACATAACACGCGTGACTCGTCGAGAATCACGCAGCACGCGCAGGTACGCGGCTCGCGGCTAAATGAAATTTTAATAAAGCTGCGCCAGAGAACCGCGCAGGGTGGAGGGGCACGATCTTCACAATGGAACAATGGCTATACGAAATCGTCCGAAGGCGTCGGCGCGCTTCTTCCGAAGCCGAGCAGCCGCGCCGCGATAATTATATCGAGGCGGCGGCACGGAATCTCGCCAGAAAAACTTGTCTTCGGTCCTTAAGGGGCTGGGGGAGTCCCCGGAGCGCCGCTCGCAGTCGCCTAACTAAAGGCGAATTTACACGGTTCGCTCCCGATGATTACCCCGGATGAATCATCCAAAATAAATTGGATGAACGCGTTTTTGTTCGAATGTATCGCGCTAAAAGTGGGCTACCCGATTTGCGGCCGATCCGACGCGGGCGTTCGTTGCTTCTTAAAAACTTCCAACGTGAGAAAGAATGAGTCGGGGGGTACACACCTCCCGTACAATTTGTGCATACAATAACTCAATTATATATCATCCTTAAAGAGTAAACATACTACGCGAATATGCATACAGACGCGTCAAGTTTGTATGCACCACTGTATAAACTCTCAGTTCACGACTGTAAGCCGTCGGTTTCCTAAACTCTCAGCACACTGAGTTCTCAACTCCCAACTTTCAACTTTCCTCTCGCGTTTCATAACCCACAATTTCTCACGTCGAACACACGGTACTCGCGATTTGTATCATTATTGCACGTAATCAGTCCAAATGCAATAAAGAGGATTAATTGTAAAATCGTTATATCGTGCGCGAAACACGGATTGCGTTAGACTAATTTGCTTTTACAAATCGAATCAAACAGAAAGTGGAATAAAACTTCACAGCTTGCTTTATTTCGCGTTATTTAACCTAGTTGATCGTTCAAACTGCTGCCAAAAACGATCTTCTATTATTTAACAATTTGTTGTTTAACCCTTCTGTCAATGCATGAATACTCGAGTATCTATATCGAATTTTAAACACTAAAAATTTTTATATTTTCGTGCGAATTTCGTTACAACTCTTTAAATTGCCATTCTTCTATACAAAGAACTGTTTTACACAGATTTATCTCATGTTTACTTTTACATTTTTCAAGGAAATTTTGTGAAACATGGAAATGAAAAGAGGTGAAAAATTATACACACTCATAGAAGAGTTCAGTAATGGTTACTCGAGTTATTTTACTTTCTCTTTTCGAATGATTTTGATCAACATCGTCGGAAATTTACGTGTAAATTCGCCTTAAACTTTTGCCTTGGTCCTCGCCCTTTGTCTCCCTTGCGACAGGAGCTCGTAGTCGTCTCGGTTCGACGATCGTAGTCGCGAATGAGAAACTCGATCGGCGAGGGAAAAGGGCGAAGCAGGCGCGACGCCGCTGGTTTTTGTCGGCAACAGCCGTTTCTTTGTAAGACGATAGAATGGCATTCTAATATCGACATCGCGCAAGAAGTCGGTGCGCGTATACAATAAAAAGACCCGATGGTATTCGGAACAAAAGCGACCGAGCGTGTTAGATAATTAGCAAAAATTTAAAGTCACCACTATGATTATTCAGCATTTTCTGGTTGTTCAACGGTTATCTTCTTTAATATCAAGAATATGGGCGTAAGATACCTAAAACCCATGTTTCACTATGCATTGGAAGTTGTGTGAGGATTGAAAAGATTAGATATTAAAATTAAAATTATCTGATCGAATTTTAATCTCTAATTCTCGCAATCCTCTAATTCGAATCCAAATATAATAGAAATTAAAATAAAGATTGCGACATCACAAGTTAAGAAGAGCGCAAATGTTTCATAGTTTTATTATAAAAAATGAAACAATCAAGATGATAAAATGTTTAGTCTCAAAGTTTTATGTTCATCAAATTATTAGTAACGTACATATAAAAACAAATTCTGGAGTATACCTATCAGTTATATATCTTATTAAATACTAAAAATACTAATTAATATTGAAAATGCTACTTTTTATTTTGATACAAGCTAAGAACTTCAATAATTGTGCATCTTTTTAGATAGGTTTTTTTCAGGCAGCCAATAGAACGGACTTCAGTTAATCAATTGATGAAACTTTTTATTGCACTTTTTTATATATCATTATATACTAAGATATAAGTAACATTCCAGAGTTTGTAAAACATACATTACTATAAATGATTTGCCAAATACACAAAATTCAATTAAACGTTTTTATTATTATGCTTTTAATTTTTCTATATATAGCTACTTGTACACTTGATTATTATATACAAGTAGCTATATATAGAAAAATTAAAAACATAATAATAAAAATGTTTAATTGAATATCTTTAACGAGAATTCATTATCGATCACAATCCTCGTCTGGCTTTTAAATAAGGTAAAGTATTAATTTTACCAGAACCGTAGTCGATATTACATGACTTATCCGTTCAATCTCATTATCCGGATTTGTGGTACAATGGAAGCGTATAAGTTCTTCAAAGCATCTTGCCTTTCTAGAATCTCTAGTTGAGCATGTCTTAAACATATTACGTAGCCTCGTAAAATAGCAGCTATAATAAGCTGATGAATATTTTCATAATGCACGATGTGTCGATAGTGCTGCCTTCCGGCTTTTTCTTTACGGTGTTTCGTCGTTTTAAGTTCTGCGCAGTAATATGTCTGCGTAAACTTTTGCGGTACAAATAAAAGACTTTAAGTATACATGCGAATTTTATCCGACTAGAAAGATTCTTTTTTCAATCAACGTGATAGATTAAAGCAAAGACTAAATGAATAATTTATTAAAAAGAAAAAAAAATCAGATAAATGTCTACGATGTAAATTAGAAAAAATGGAAAATATTAGCCGTTGACACTATAATTTTCGTGATAATATGAATTTTATGTATCAGTTATCAAGAATGCCAAGTTAGCATTGCCTGGTTGTAGTACCAGTAAAAAAGAGGAGTGAATTAGCGAGGAAGGAAAAAACACATGTGGCCGCGTGTCGCCGGCGGGCCGAGTAATAAATTCGTATTTCACGCGAGATCGCGGGAGTGTTGCCAGTTCTTGACGTCGGCTAACTGTAAATGCAAGTGGTCACGCATGGGAAAGCGTTCGCCGATCCCACGATCGTCGTCGTTACGAGAATCGATTATTATTACAAGAGGTGTATCCAATTTCGCGTCACTTGCGCGCAAAACCGAACGAGGTGGCTGTAAAGGGGCGCGCGCGCGGATATTATCGGGCAAATTATGGTGCGGGGTCTATTCATTTACGTACACGAAGTCAATGACCAATCAGTTGTTAACTGCTAACGGTAACGAACACCGCACCGCGGATAAATTTGAAACGAGTGGGACAGGCTAACTACGCCGGTGATGCGTCTCTGCGCGGATTGGCTCGTTAGAGGAAAACGCTGCTTTCCTCATTCGCACACGTCTAAAATTGAAAGATGACCCCCGCCGCAAGTGTCGATGGGCCGCATTCATGTCATGATTCGTTAAGTAACGGTTTAATATCCCGTATGTGACGCGTCATCTGATATTAGAATATTCGATGAATATTCATCGAATAAATGTGAAGCAATATTAATCCATTCGTTATGAAGTTCCAATATTGGAACATTCGATATTGTCGATATTACTTTCTCGTAGTAAAAACTCGAGAATTACTGACAGCGTATTTTTATATTTTTCTCATTTTGCTCACAGAAACGTTAAAAAATTTATACTCAACAATAAAAAGTTGAGAGCACATCTTTTTTCTCCGATCCTCAATTTTTTTCCCTCGACGTGTACTCTTTCATTCACCGCGACGATCTCAACTTTTCGGGAAAAGAAAAGTGTCGCGAGTGTGCAGAGAGAGAGAGAGAGAGAGTCTCGACGATGCATTGTACTTTACGGTACTGTTGGCGCGGATTTTAACATTAAGTCGTCGCTTGTTTCCAGGACCGGCACGTGAAGGACGCCAGCAAAGATCCGCAGATGGATTCGAGCCAGGACTACCGACTCTTACTGGGTTACGAGAACAAGACGCACACAGTGCTCCGCTTCAGTCGACGATACGACACATGCGACCCTCGGGACCTGAAGATCACGGTAGGTGATGCGATTTATGCAGCTCGAAAGGTGGAGCGCAGGACAATTTCCTGCGGAGTGTACACAAAGCACGCGAGATTTACTTAGGACGCTTATCTTACGCTAGTTTTACTGAGATAAATGCGTTTATATCGTGCCGAGAAAGATTAATATGAAATTTACTTCTTTATAGACGGGATTGTATAATTTAAAAAGTTTTACTTGTACAGGGGGAAAGAACGATTTTGTTAAAGTATTTAAAAATTTAGCTAGATACCTACAGATCTGAAAATAATTATGCTGGGCATTCAATTATATAATTAAATGAGTAATATTGTAAGAAGTTTTGACACTCTATAGCAAAGCTCCGGGCATGTTCCATAATTAGTTTAATGTCCAAAATTATACATATTTTTATATACTTTATCAAAAAACCTTTTTTCTATTGATAAAAATATAGATTTGAAACCAGTTATCTTTATTAACATAGATGGACGGAGCTTACCGGAATGCTTGGTCTACCATTTTAACTGATGAAGATAAATAGAATTTTTGTTTACATATTCGGAAGAGTAGATTTCTAGTTTCGGTCTTATTTATGTTTTTACACGTTAAAACGGAAAATGTTCTCATTATCCTAATTAATACAAATGTCCGTGCATACGCAAACGTAATTTCCTTCTCGTAAACACTTAAATTTGGAATTAGTTGAAAAAAAATTATACTCGCTAGTTTCAAAGTACACATGTAAAAATATTAAATACAAAAGTATGGTTAATTACTGCATTTAATTACGTATATTACGTCGACGGTCGTAAAAATGTTTGCGCTCTGGATCTGGACTCGAATTAAATTCGGCGGCTCGTTATCGCAATTTTCCCGCGCGATATTCCGTACTCATTGTAGGACAGCCCGACCTACTTCTTTATTTCGCCGGTAATTAACTCGGAAATAGATTGCGCGATAGAACCGTCCTCGTTGCTCGAAGGTACTCGGCACGGATTTAACCCGAAGAAAAAGAGATTAGACCAGTGTTGCGATCTGTTTCAAGCAATACAACATGAAATTTATGGCGACAGACACGGCCATGAAGACCTAAACTGACTCTGAAGTGTCTCCCCCATTTATAGCGACTATAGGATTGCATTCACTAATAACACCATCGACACGCAATTATGTTTCTCGGTAAATAGCGATCAGCAAAATAAAGCTCGCTTTTGAAAGGTTAGTCAGAAGAACTATACAGTCAACTTGCAATTGGCACTTCTCGCTTTTTTCCGCTTTCTTAAACTTGCCGAGCGCGTCTTATAAGTTTCCAAGAAGGACAAGAAGAAGCGATAAAATTGTATTTATGACCTATTCGCTCGACGTGGTTAAAGATAAAAATGCGTAGTTTCTTGCAAAAATCGTACATCTTCAATCCTTAAGTTCGTAATCGCGTGTCTTTAACTATTAAGTGAAGCTGCAGATCTCTAAGACGGAAATTTTATTGCGCTGCGCAATTCTGTCGCTTAGAGTGTTACTGCTTTTGAGTTTCGCATGGATTCGTTCTAGTATGAAATCTCTTTGTACACCTGATGCTTGCACAAAAGTACAATAAAAATATTGGTTTTGTGTAACAGGTATATCGTTTGTTTTCAATATAAAGAAAATACACAAGAGTAACTTTTAGCATTCCGGAAAATATCTGTTACATTAGTAAATACTGATATTTTACTGGATATTATTTCTCTTATTCTTAAATTCTTTCAATTGTTTGGGAAAAAAAAAAATAGCAAAACATAAAAATCCATTTATTTTCAATCTGTCGCACAGATCAATATAGATAAATGAAAAAACGTAAGATTTAACAAAGCTCTTGCGGGAATATCCGGTTATACATATACGAGGTAAATACCTATATTCTTTTTGTTTGATCAGCGTTTTCTCCGACTGCTTATTAGTCCCTATTATCATCACTTCGCTATCGCTTCTACGAAATCTCGCGACATGTTATCGACCAACAGCACGCTTAACACACAATTGTCGAGGCTCGATTTTCCACCTGATCGTATTATTATCGCGCATCAATTTCGGACGAGCTCGCTGCGATGCGATCTCATGGTCTGCCCGCGCGTGCATAATTCGCTGCAGCCGCATCGCTATCGAGGTTGCCGCTCGATGCCACGTGAATAAACGCCGTACGTGTTCGTAAATATTCGCTCGCGGTAAATCGAATTCCCCCGCGTTACGTAACGTCGAATTAAACGATATTTTCGATTAACGAATATTCAGTTAATGCCGAAGCATCGCCTCTTCCCATATATCTCTCTCAATTACGAAATCATTTTTCTTAGTCTGCGTATACCATTAATTTTAATAACACAGTATATAATAATTTTAAACTCACAATATTAAGATATCGCTGGATTGACGTTTTATTATTTTTACTTTGATATAAATTCCTCCAATATCTTAAAATATATTGATAAAAATATCTTCAGTGTAAAAAAACAGATTATTATTTATTAGAAGATGGTATAAAAGAGTTATTTAAAGCAGTGACGCTAGGATATAATAAAGCTTTTTTTGTGAATTTTATTTGTGATTTATTTAAAAGACAGTACATTATAATACAATATAAAAATTAGATTTTCTAGGAATTAATCATACACTGAAAGAAAAGATTGGTTGAATATGGCATAGCATTTTTAATTGGATACAGCAGCCAATTTTTAATTGCGTCAGTCTATCGAAATCCTATATTGACATTGCCGTAACCAAAAATTGGCTGCGCAACCAAAAATTAGCTGCTACAGCCAATTAAAAATGCTATGTCATATTTTAATTTGCCATGCAGCAGCCAATCTCTTCTTTCATTGTGTAGATGTATTTATTATTAAGATTATTACATTATTATTCTTTATTACATAAATTGTTCCCTATCATTGAAAACTAATACAAGCAGTAAAATTTACTCTTTGAATTGTAAGAAGCAATTCGAGATAATACAATTTTGAAACAAACAGGGTCATTGTCCAATCGCGTTGTCCAAATCGCCAATCTGTGCCAAGAAGATCTACTTCCTCACCTCGGGAACGTTCTAGGAATTCCTTGTGGTCACGATCATCTTAAGTATCGTGTCTCTCTCCAACAAGAGAGAACGAATGAGAGGACGACGGCGACGACAACGATCTCGTCCTCCCGACGAGAATGTTCGTCTAGCGGTTGAGTCATCGAAATACTTGGCTGTGAAAATAAAAGCGGGCCGCGATTCCATCGCGACGAGAAACGACCGAGTCAGCGGGACCCCTCTCAGACTCCTTATCTGATTGTGCCACGTATCGATACCCGATATAATATTTTTGCGAGGCGTCGCTCTATCCTCGTCGAGAGATATAATCGTGGTTGCAGCAGGCAAAATTGGCTGCGAGGGGATATAACAAGATGCGCAGTCCGCAACTCTTGAGATTTCGAAAAAAGCAAAAGGCGGCAGAATTAATTCAAACTTGATATGAAACACGATATAAAGACGATACGAATTATTTACTGACTTTTTGTGTAGGTATCTGTTAAATTCTCTCATGTCATATTATGACATCCACTTTGAGTTATTTATAATCATTCCTAAATTGCCACTGCTCTTACTCAACATATCGTTAATCTAATTACAACAACTCAATTAAAGAATTTATAATTCGAGGAAATGTATTAAAAGTTAAATTTATTTATTACTTACTAAATACGTGAATATGGGCATAATTTAATAACATTTGTGGATTACGTGCTTTGAAACTAAGCATTCAATCACAGAAATGGATTGATTTTATTCATTTTGACGTTTATGAAAATCAAAAATAACAAAACTTAATGGATTCGATGAATTGCTTCTTTGATATCTCTAACAATGTGCGATACTCAATAAAAAGAAATGATAAGTATTTTAATCAAATATATTAATAATTCTCTTGTACCAAATAAATATATGTTTACATTTAGTGAAGTATTTAGTTAATATTATACGGTTTAAATAAATATTTATTAAAATTTAGTAAATTTTTGCAGTGTTATATTATTTTTAAAATGTTATAGATACAATTGCAAATATTTTGTTGAAACGGACTCGCGCAATCTGTAGTCGCGTTCATCAAAATATAGCAAGTAATGTTTTAAAACTAGATGTATGGAGCTCTCAATATAATGGTCGTTAGATTGTGCTATGCAGGACAGAATTACGTGGAAAATATCGCGCGTATTCTCGTGTTTGAACCCTCCGATTGGAATACCATATTTTTCCACGCCGATATTTCCCTACGATCTTCATCGACGTAACAGAATACGAAGATGGATGCTTACTTTTTCGACGAGATACACACGGCGACATGTTTGTTCCAGAAATACGTTCGCGAAATGTAGTGTCGTGCCGATGTTATCAAGAATCCCGTCCCGTTTGTGTCATCGATAGAAATCAAATATTGAGATCGCCTCAGGGAGTTATTACTTCTCGAGTTTCGTCTCTGTGCTCATACTTTATCGCGACGCTTATCTCGAGTTTCTCGACCCGAATTTAGGAGCCGGAGATTTCCACGATCGTACGTAGGTCGGCAATTTTTCCGGATCTCCAATTGCGCTGCCAAGTACGCGAACGGTGAACCTTCATTCGTCGAACATATTGCTTTCAAACGTGATCATAGCGCCTAGGGCTAGGAAATAAATTTTTACAGGGCTTAACTTAATGTGTTCTCGCTAGTTCGTGAAATAAACGAATATTTAAATACATATATTTATTCGAAAAAAAATATTGTATATTATTTAATATATATATTATAACACAAGTATAAACCTTTTTGTTAATAATTTTAATATGTTTGTGGAATAAAATCATTAAATATTTTAAAGAGCATATATGTATATAATAGGTTACACTTTTTAAATTTCTTAGAATGAAATCTTCAACAGAGTCAAAATAGAGCCACTATCTTGAGTAAGAATGGCAAATTTTTTCACTCTTATTTTTGGAATGATATTTTACACTTTTGGAA